AAAAAAAAAAAAAAAAAAAAAAAAAAAACTTAGAAAAAGCAGACATTCTTTAAAAATATGACTCATTAAAAGTGACTGAAAAAAAAATAGAAAGCTTGAACTAGTTTTTAAAATAGTCCTGCTAAAGGAATGGAAGCAATACTGAAAAACAAAACAAACAAAAAACCAAACTTTCCATAAAGAAAACACCAGTTCCAGATTGTTTTACAGATGTGTTTTACCAAACTCAAAAATATCAGATCAATCCGATCTCATGCAAACTTTTTCAGAGAAGAGAAAAAGAGGAAATACTCCCCAACTCATTCTATGAAGCCAGAATAACACAGACGCCAAATCCTGGATAACAAAGACAGGAAAATATCAGGCACATTTTATTTATGAATATAGATGCAAAAATCTAAAACAAAATGTTAGCACATAGAATTTAATGACATATGTAAAATAAACCATAATACTCCGTGTATAAGTTGGGCTTACCCTACAAAAGTAAAAAAAAAATTTTTTGGCAGCTGACCAGTATGAGGATCTGAACCTGTGACCTTGGTGTTACAAGGCTGCCCTCTAACCAATTGAGCTAACCGGCCAGCCCCAAAAGCAAAATTTAATATTAAGAAAATCTCTGAATGTAATTGATCTCATTATATAATTATGTCAAAAGATGCAGAAACAGCCTTTGATTAAACTCAACATACATTTGATAAAAACTCTTAATATATTAGAAATAAAATAGAACTTTTTTCACCTGATCAAGGGGGGTCTCCAAAAATCCTACAATAAATGTCATCCTAGAGAAGAAATAGCAGAAGCATTAAAGTTATGAACATGACAAATATACCTACCATCACCATTTCTATCCAAAATTGTACTCTAGGACCCAGCCAGCACAATAAGACCAAAAGAAAAAAAAAAAAGCCAAAGGCAACAAGATTATTTTATTTCTCTAAATGTACTAAAATAGTTATTTTATATTCTGTGTCTCATAATTCTAACAGTTGAGTTCTTTGCAGGGGTGTTTAGTTTGTATTGTTTGTTGTTTTTGCTGGTTGTATTAGGATTGTGTATTAGGAAACAGAACTAATAGTACACATATATAGGTATATAAGAGGGGATTTATGATGGGAATTGGCTCACACAGTTATGGAGGTCCCATAATATGCTGTTTGAAAGCTGGAAAACCAGAAAAGCTGATGGTGTAATTTAGTCCAAGTCCAAACGCCTGAGAATCAGGGGAGCCAATGGTATAACTCTCCATCTGAGATGGAAGACCTGAGAATTGGGAGCTCCAATGTCCAAGGTTAGGAGAAAATGGATGTCCCAGTTGAAGGAGAGGGAGAAGATTCGTCCTTCCTCTGCCTTTTTGTTCTATCTGAGCCCTCAGTGGACTGGACGATGCTTGCCTGCTTTGGTGAAGGTGATCTTCTTTACTCAGTCTACTGATTCAAATGCCAATCTCTTCTGGAATCACCCTCATAGGCACACCCCCCAAATAATGTTTTACCAGCTACCTGGGTATCCCTTAGCCCAGTCAAGTTGACACATAAAATTAATCATCACAGTGGTTCTCGCTCATGGTGTCATGTTTCCTTATGTGTTTAGTATTATTTGACTGTGAGTTGTTCATTTTCTTTGGAACTTTTTTGTGGAATTATTTGAGGACTGAGATGAAGGTGAGTTCCTCTAACAAAGATTTATATTTGCGCCTGCTGGACACCTGAGGTACTACCAGTCTGGGATCATTTTATACTAAATTCTTGGTTTGAGTTTTTCCAGATCACCTAGGTAGAGTAAATTTGACTGCTTATGGTGTGAGGGCGAACTTGTAGTTGCGGATACTCAAGAGGTGATTCTTGCTCCCTACACTCATTGCTATTGCCAAGGTTTAAAACATGCAATTTTCTTGCAATTTTTTAGGTGTGAGGCTAGGGTGAGTTTTTTTTTTTCTAGTTCTCCTGTACCTGAGTGTACAGCCCTTTGGGGTTTGACCACCTTGGGTAGACTCTGGGTTTCATCTTCTTTTTCTCATGCCCTGAGAGACCATGAAAACTAAAGTTAAACTTCATCTGTCAGCAAATGCCCCTGTATCTGTTATTTATTGCCATAATTTTGTGGCATAACACAGCATTCCAAAACTCAGCAGTTTAAGTTAATAAGCATTTATTTTTGCCCAAGGGTTCTCAAATTGGCTCAATGGTTCTTATTCAACTGGGCTTGCTTTTGTGTCTGCAATCAGTTGTGGTCAGGTGGCTATCTCTGCCTCTCTTGGCTGATCTCTTGTTTAGAGGTCAGCTGGCTATAGACTGGTCTACGACGGTCTTGTCTTGGATAGTTGGGATGGCATGCCTTTCTCTCACCTTGTCATTCATCCTCCAGCAGACTATCTTAGGCTTGTTCTAATAGTGAAGGCAGGAGACCAAAAGAAAATGTAGAAATATGCAATCTCTTACGGCTTAGGTGTGGAACTGGCACATCACAACTTCTACATTCTATTGGCCAAAGCAAGTTACAAATCACCCAGATTCAAGAAAATAAAGTCTACCGCTTTAAAATAGAGTCTATCGCTTGATGCAGGGAGTTACAAAGTCACATGGCAAAGGACTTGGATTCAAGAAGAGGTAGATAATCGGTACCCCATTTGCAACCAATCCACAGCAGCCCCCAAGGCTAAATAAAGTTGGTTTAAGTGCTTGCTTACTTCTCTGGTTCTGCTTTCCCTTAGATTTTGGCTGGAGTGATGCTTATTTTCTCGCCTGCACATTGATATATTTAAGATTTTTTAAAATATTCTTTTAAAAAATTTACTTCTCAAAATACATTGTAGTTGATTTTCATGCCCCTTTACCCATTCCTCTCCACCCCCGTCCCTCCCCCCTACATCGTATCTGTTCATTTGACTTAAACAGTTCAGGGAATTTTTGTGGTTATTCTGTCTTCTTCCCCCCCACCTTTATTTGTGTGTTTATTTATTTATTTATTTTTAGCTCCCACAAATAAGTGAGAACATGTGGTATTTCTCTTTCTGTGCCTGACTTATTTCACTTAATATGACTTTCTCTAAGTCCATCCATGTTGTTGTGAATGGTAGTATTTCATGATATGGAGGTTCCTTAAACAATTACAGATAGATCTACCATATGACCCAGCAATTCCACTGCTGGGAGTATACCCAGAGGAATGGAAATCATCATGCCAAGGGCATACCTGTACTCCAGTGTTTATTGCAGCACTATTTACAATAGCCAACAGTTTGAACCAGCCCAAAAGTCCACCATCAGATGAGTGGATAAGGAAACTGTGGTACATCTACACAATGGAATACTACCTGGCTATAAAAAAGAATGAAATATTTAAGAAGATTTAAAAAAAATATTTTATCTGTTTTTTTAAAAGTAATTTATCATGTTTTCAGCAGGAGCATCGACTAAGGCACCTAGTCTGCCATATTGCTTGATTGACACTTTGATGAGTCTCTGTCTTTGCACATGGTGACTCTCCACCTGAAATTCTCTCTCCCAGTCTTTGAGACTCTAATGTCTCCTTTATGCTTCTCTACTGTGCCTCATTACCGAGGCAGAGCTGGTTATCGCCTCCAGACTCTAAAAGTATTCTATGCTCACCTCTATTAAGGCATGGAATTCCTAATATAGCAGTCATAATTTACAGAGCGCAGGGCCTCTTGTTCAAAATATTAAAAATTTTGAGACAGGAACAGCAGAGCATTAAACCAAGAGTGAGGTCCTTCTAAGTGCAGGGCTCTGCACCACTGCACAGGCCCACTCTCATGAAGCTGGCCCTGACAGTAATTATTGGTTTATGTTTTCATTTTCCTTATTAATCACTGGATGGGTATGAGAAAATACTGTCTAAGGTAAGCCTGTCTGATTCATCTTTAGGCCCCAAGAGGCTAGCAAAGTGCCAGGTACAATCAGTGGATGATTGTTGAATGAACAAATGAAAACTACAGTATGTTCTCAATTGTAAAGCACACCAACACTTTGATAACAGCTTTAAAAGTAGAAAAGCCATATTAAGTGTCCCCAACCATTGTCAGATGCTTTCTAGTTTCAGAATAGTTTATAAAATATAGATCTTAGAACTGAGAAAACATAGTGGTGCCTTTTAGTATCCTACGTGATGGTTATTCTTATGCTCCATAGGAAGGGAGACGTTTCTCTCAGTTCTAAAGTGGGTTCCTGGGACCAACTTTCTATCTTAATTTCTCTGACATTTGCTCTTGGCTGAACCCTGGGCTGGGAATTGTCTGCAACCTTAGCTCATGATTGAAGGGACAATGAATCCGTCTTGTAGGCAGCAGGATAGTTGACCAATGTGCTAATCTCCCACCAAACTTCTAGGTTTCCTTTGGGAGGGCTCTCCAAGTGCCTTTATGTCATTTATGGAATGTGGCACCTTTAAACACCTCCCTGGGAAAAGGAGAGAAGGCTTGGCTCCCAGTTCTGCCTCTTGGGCCCGTGGCCTCAGTTTCCCCCTTTATACCAGGAAGAGAGCCAGTGGTCCCAGAGGGATACAGAGAGAAGGGAGTTGTTGGGGAGCACTTAATCAGAACAACTCCAAGGTTTGTTCCTAGAGAGGTGGACAGTCTCTCAAGCCTCCCAAGCCCACACCTCACCACACCAAGCTTTCGAGGCGAGAAAAGGTGGAGGAGGAAAGAGGGCTTTAAGGATGCACACTACCGTCCACCCCAACTTACAGCGCCTGAAGCAGTGTTCCCTCTCACTCACCCCGAAAAGTCAGAATCCAAAACCAGCCCCTCCCCCACACTTTCAGCCCCTCCCCCTGCGGCTTCCCCAGCGCGGCCCCCTCCCCCCCATTACAGCATCGTTCTGGGCGCCAAGACGGATTCAAGCCAGGGACTGCTGCAGTCAGCGCTCAGCCTCTGGCCGCTCCTGCAGCCTGTGCCCAGGCTCTGCAGCCTCCGACTGTGCTTGGGACAGTCCCCTTTCCCTCCCCCACCCCGCCCCCGCCCCCGGCCTGGCACAACTCGTGGCTCAGGGCCCAGAGGTGGGCAGGCACAGTGGGCACGGGTGGGGGCCCCAGCAAAGACAGCAGGTATCTCGGAGTTCTCCCTCCACACTGGGGATGCCTCGGCTGTGCGGACAGTGGGTGGGGGACGGCTGTCAGTGGCTCTGAGGCCGGGCACAACGCCCCACCCTGGCAGAGACCGGTGCAAAAGAGGGGGCTCCTTGAACCGAGGCAGAGAGCTGAAGTCGGGGAGCAGACCCGGAAAACCCGAAGGAGAGTCTCCTAAGGGGACGTGCCTGGGGGGCTCTGCGTGACATTCAGGGCGTGACTGTGCCTCGGTGGGGCGCGAGACCTTGTCAGTGAGGCTGTGTGACTGTCTCTCGAATCGCCAGCCTCCGGGCTTGGGTCCCTGTGCCTAGGTCGGCTGTGCGTGGCCGTGCCACCGTGTGTGCCTGTTTCTGGGACCCGGCAAACATTGACCCAGTGGTCCCCGGGGAGGGGGATCTTATTCGCACCCGCGAGCTGGGCCTCCCAGGCGCTGTCGCTCAGCCAGGCGGGCGCTCCTCCGGGACCCCGGCGGCGGCCGGCGGCGACCTCAGCCCTCCTGGGGCCGGTGCGGGGGCGGGGAGCTCGTCCCCCTCCCGCTCCCCGGCTCCCGGCTCGGCC